TTTCGTTTTGCTGTTTTCGTGACCATTTTTCTAAGCGTGTGTTAAAAAATTATAAATGCTGATGTAAATCCTTTAAAAAAGGAGCTATCGATTTGCCTCAATTAGCAAAAATGTGCATTTTTAAAGCCCTTACAACTTTGTAGAACTTTTTAGAATTCAAATAAAAATTTTATGGCACAAAAACGGCTGTTAAGGGGGTACTACCGTTTGTACTCCAATCTCACCATATAACTTCGTCCACTTGAGAGATAGAAAATTGTCTATCACAATTTGTCTTTGACAAAGTTTCTTAAAATTCCGAACACGATGCCTCCGGTAAAATGTGTAAGGGCAAATTGGCAATGTTTGAGACATCATTGCTCAGCAATGTACCGATAAATTTTAAATCAATTGATTTCGAATAAATCTTTAAAGTTTTTAGTTTCAAATGGCGTCACTAGATTTGAGATCTGCCATTAAATGGCTGAGCTATGATTGTTCGAACACTGCAAGTTTTCCGTTACGCATTTTACCTGAGGCATCGTCTTCGGAATGTTAAACTAACAGCATCTACAATGTTTCAATAGATGATCATCAATTTTAAAAAATCTGCTAAAATAAACACTTTATTAATTTTCAATAGGTCACTATTGACAATAACACAAATGTCCAACTGCTGCAATAGTGATCAAAATTATCACCGATTGCCTGCAAATAGCGCTTTCCCTAACACAGATTTCAAAATTGAATTCCATCCGGTCTCAACTAATGCTGTTCATTCAATCACCGCATGTGGTGAGTGGTGGTGTTCTCCAGTACACAACGAAAGGCTCCCCGCAAGCAGCTTGCTATCAAGGCTGTCCTAAACCACTCATCGAAATCAGTTGCTTGTCGTGAGCCGCTGTGGGTCATCTATGCCGAGCGCGTCACCCTCGTTTAAAACAACATACAGCTCGTCAGCCTCATCCGTATTGAACACCCTAATAGCTCAGCATTATTCAACCATAACGACAAGACGGTTCTTTTCAGGACCACCATAAATTATTGTTGTTTAAGAGTTAATTTTTATTGAACGTTCGCTCGCCTTGCTGCCAGCCAAATCACCCCCAAAGCTCTTTGATAATGTACCCAGCAACCAAACGTTTGTAGTCAAATGCGTCAAGTATTGAAGTGGTACATACAAATTCTCACGATGACCGAATACCACACGACCCGAGACATGTGTCAAATAACCAGAAATACGAGGCGTTTCCGTAATGAAAAAAGGTTTCCCTAACACAGTCGCCGAATATAGATTCCAAGCACTGAGCATGCCAGACCGTACCTATCTGTATGCCTTTTGTTATAAATTCTCAGCCTCTACATTTAAGAGAATTATGCAAAAAAAAAAATCTTGCCAAATTCTCTTCAAAAAAGAGGCTTAAAATTTGCATCAAAAAGCATAAACGTAGGTCCGGTAGGCTCAGATTTTGTGAGTGATGTGTTTTCCCTTATACACATTTCATTTTCGCACCGCTATCAAGTACAAATTTCCACATCATTATTCTAAACTGGCTTCCAAGCTTCCAATCCATCGATCCTTTTCAGGATAACAAATGACTAATAAAAAAGTTAACTAAAGAGTAAGAGCTTGTATCCAAGACATATCGTCCAGTATTGGCTTGTACTTGGACATCGACAGAGCACCTCACAAACAAAACTCTCAAATTACTTCCGAATTTCAACCTATCGAACTTTTTCAGTGATAACAAATCAATTTAATACAGTGTTCACTCGGCTGTCGACAAAAGCAGGCCACTCTCGATGGGTGCTACGCGATCGTCTGTTTTCTCGGCAGCAACCATTGTGTGGTCCTCCTTATTGTTCTTCATCAGCAGTTCTTTCGGTCGATGCGTCGTCGACTTTGGAAAGCAACCGTTTCGTGATGAGTGTGTGAATGCTGACCACGTTTTGCGTCCATTGTTGCAATGGACGCGCTCTGACCCTCGTTGGCGTACAACAATTTGCCATACAATGAAACTACTGGAAGCGGCTCCAGTTCTGATGGAGGAGGCTTTTTGGATAGCGGAAGATAAAGTGTTTATTGTGTTGTACCTTTTGACTATAGTTTTAAGATGTATTGTATAGTGACCAAGAATCCTCGGCTCTGTAAAGCTAATTCGGTTGAGCCTTATCAAATAAATTAATAAACAAAAAAAAACCAATTTAATAGATACTATACTTTTGTTGTGATACCAAAACTACCTTTCGTAATCCTACGTCAAATCTACGGTTGTGTCTTAGATACACCATCTTACTTTTTTCGGACACTTAATTTTTAAACTATAGGAACAAGCGTGATATATGTTTAATGTTATTAGGTTTACAGGTATTTCAAGATATAATTATAAAATGTTAAAATCATGAACGTGTCCGATATATGAATCAGAACGGTACCTCAAAATGTTCTTGCCCAAGCTATTAAAATTTTCGTTTAAAAAAAAAAGCTACAAAATGCAAACATTTAGAAACCATGTACACTTTATTAAACTTAAATTACTAAGCTTTTTGCTAGAGCGTATTTTTGTCATCGAAAATGATATTGTCTGAAACATTGTTTCCTGAGAACAAATAACATGAAAAAAAATATTTACTAACAGTTCAAAAATTGGACCGAAAGACTAGAAAAACATTATTTTTCTCTACAACTTTGTTTCTTCAGACATCATTTTGATCAGAAATAACGTTTCCATGTTACATTTTTTTGAAAAATTAAAAAAAAAACACCATTTGAAAATTTTACAAGATCCAAATTGGCCGAATTTCAACGAAAATGTTACCCATAACAAACAATTATACAAAATTTCATGAAAATCGGAGTGTTTCGTCACTTGGCATGGAATTAACTCGATGGTTCCTTCAATATCAAGTAAGGTTCAAAATATCCCAATGAAAAATGCCTGAAAATGCGGAGATGAACAAGCCATAGGCTAAAAATCTCCTTGCAAATTTTCTCAGCTACATCTTTGTTCAAAACCACTTTTCAATCAAATGTAAGGAACAAAAGATATTAATGATTCAAGTCACTGATGTCTTTTGATTATGCTCATTCAACTGTTCAGTAGGCAACATTGGTGTTTCTGGTGCGAAGAATAGAGCACTAATATCATAGCTACTATGTCACATTGCAGAATACAGTGTTGCTCACAGAACAGCTGCTTGATCATGCCATAAGATTATCAATCTCTAAAACAATTAATAACTATTTAATTTAACATTTGGCTGAAAAACAATATTTCACAAAGTTTGTAGTTTAGAAAATTTCCCGTAAGAAAAATTAAAGAACATTTCAAAAAAGCAATATGGAAAATGAGTAGAGGACAATGAACAAAATGTTTGGTTTTCTCATAGTAATTTTCATATAAACTTCGAATGGTTTGTGCAATGTCAGTTTCTTACCAAATGAGTTTAAATTTGGGGAGGCTAATCAGGACTTGATTTCAAACCGTTTGAGCACTGTGGAGCGAAAATTTACAAATTTTGCATATATGTTGAAGCATTTTTTTTTAAATCTCTTATTTTTAAACGATGAGGGTACCATTTTTGGAAAAAGGTATGAAGGACCTGTTGACTACCATCAAGATCTAACATCTACTGTTCATTAAGATGTAACCAATATCTGATTTGAGCTAAACAATTCCTTGTGAGTAGTGGCATTCAAGCTCGTAAGTTTTTAGTTTGAATTAGTTCATCACATCATTCGATACCATCTGATTTATGAACTCTCACAATTTCAACAGTCCTAGTAGATTGGAAACGATTCTGCGTGTAACTATTGGAACATATTGCCTTTTAACCATTCGAAATTAGCAAACTTCCGGAAAAAAAACCCCTACCACTAAACTAAAGTGTCGTAACAATCGAATAATTGAATCGTAAACGCCGATATCATAGGGGCCTCCCTCAGCTCAGCCGGTAAAGGCGCAGCTACAAAGTAAGAATATATGTTCGATTCCCGGTCCGAGCTAGGAATTTTTCGGTTTGGATAATTTCTCGACATCCCTGGACAATAGAGTATGATTGTATTTGCCACACAATTATGCTAATGCAAAAATGGTACAGGCATCGAATGCTCCCAATTAATAACTGTGAAAGTGCATCTAGAATTCTAAGTTAAGAGCACGCAATTAGCTTGAAATGCAAGGAAGAAGATATCATAGATATGTTTGATGTTTTCTGCTCAATAGGTCGAAAATTGGACGATTAGGCCGAAGTAAATGTTTACCCAACCTACTTGAAAGCGTTTCACTGACAGCAATCTATCAATTACCCAATCACTTAAAGTTTGATTCGACGTCGTCGTCAAGGATGCAGTAGATCCACTGTACAGTAAATCTCAACAGTTTCTCCTCTTTATGCACAATCCTATTAGGACCAACGAGGGCAGGATTTGCATTAACCATAGTGTAGTGTTCTCTTCGTTGGCAGCTGCTCACTTTCTGTATGTGTACCACCTATACTTTTTATGCAACCCGGAGATTCATCTTTTTCTCACGTGCTCACGTCAGGTCACAAGCAAAGCTGTCTCACGGCTATGGCCACGAACGGATATCTTCCCTACTATAAACCATTGATAAATGGGTGCATAAACGTAAATACCTATACATGTGAATGTGAATACATTTTAGCGGAAGACGGCTGCGAGGAAACCCATGAGCCGACAGTAAACACTGCTGCTCCACTTTGTGCATCCTCCAGCAGGCTGTATCCTGGCTGATGACGATGCGACGAAGCCAACACCAAGGGAAAGGAAAAGCATACACGGATGAAGCCATATCGCCGTGTCGGTAGTGAGAAGATATGTTGTATTTTCTATCCATGCATCCCTTGTGCTCCAGTAGCACTGTGTAGCTTATATATAAGTAAAGGATTAACAGCTCAACCTTTCGGTTCTGGCTTCGAAACGGGCAGTAGGAGTAAAAACCTGGTTGCAAACTGAACATACACACTCACAATCACGGAATCCGTTCCCGTACACCTACCTGTCTGCGGTGATTTTTCTTCCGATGCTTCCGAAAGAGATGATGTGCGGCACCTCCAGCTCCAGCTGCTGTTTCTGCATGTGACAGACACCGTAATCGGCTTAGCTGCTAATTCTGCCCTCAAGTCTCGTCTCGAACTGCTGCAGGAATCGCCACAGGAAGACAGGTTAGCTGATAATCTGGAAAATGGAAGAGAAAAAGTGACACATGAGTTTATGGATTCATTCGAGCCGATTCACTGTGCAATAATATGCTTAAAGCTATTTGACAGGAACTAACAGTGTCAAACAAAACAAACACTATCAATTCCATCTCTTAAACCACTTAACCAAACTGACCTGTACCCACTAGAAAGCATAGAAAAACTCGCACCTATAGATAAAAGTTTTCCCGCCCCCCTTCCATTCCCATAATATGAAAGTGATACAGCCAATCGAAGTCCCCTCCCCCACAAACAACGAACGACGCCCACTCGGACAATAGAACTGCACTTGATTTTTTATCGGAAAACTTTCCACACCGTTGGAAGATTTATTTCCGTTTGGCAGCGCCACACCTCGTTTGGCCGGAATTTTACACCTGCGCTTGGTTCGACATTCTTTTCTTTGCTCTATTCATTCAAAAACTTTTCCTCCCAGCTTGGGTGTGAATTGCTCTTTGTGTACATTTGCGCGATTCAGGAACTGCGGATAGAGTGTACCGAGGTACCTACTTATTTCCCAAGTCAATTCAACAGAATTCCGATTAGTAGTGCAGATGTTCAAGTTTGTTCCCACAGCATACTGTGAATGGGAGAATATAATTCAAACCGTGGTTTTGAATGAGCCTTTTTAAAGATAGGCAACGACTGATGCTGTTAAATCTAGATAGTTGGAGGGAATTTTTCAGAAACAAGGCATAAAGGGATACTTATTATAAAACATTAGCTAATGCAACTATAGTTAGTAGTATCATTCAAAAAAAAATATTCTTAGTGTAGGGTGACCGGACATTAGTCATAAATACGTTCGCCATACGCCGGATGTTTGCCATACGTACGATTGCCATAAAGACGATAGCCATAATAAACGATAGCCATAATGTACGGTAGCCATAATTTTGCAGTATTGGATTTTTTTAATCCAATTGCAATGCAGTACCCTTTATATGTATTTTGTCAACAAGCTTGAAAATGTAGTGTTGCCAAAACCGAACGGTTTTATTTTGAAATTTCTATTATGATTCCGACGATTTTGGACCACCGAGAAATAGAGAAGAATCATCTTTATGACTAAGAATTTAATAATTTTTATTTAAGCAAAAATACATAATCTTCAAAATCCATTTAATCGAACCTCGTCCCAAAATCGAACGGTTTTGTGGTTTTGTTGCCAAAATCGAACCATTCCATACATATGTTTTCTATTTAGAAAAATGCAATGAAAATGTGCAAATAATTTCTTGCTTTGAGTTGGCTCCTTCTTTATGCTATAAGTTGTTCTTTACAGAATAAATGTTTTTTTTTTTAAGAGATAAACTAGCCTTCGGCTAAAAATCTCTAAAAATTAAAATTTTATCATAAAATACTTATAAATTATGTTGCTCTTGCAGTTACCTCCTTCTTTGTATCTTAAGCTATTCTTTGACAGATAAAAGCTTTTGAAAATTTCATCTGAAATTTTTCAAAAGTAACATCTACAGCATGATCTGTTTTTTACAATTTCTGTTTATGAAAAATTCAATTAATTTTTTTTTTTGATTTTAATTCTAGAATTGGCTCCTTCTTTATAGCTTGAGCTGTTTGAGATAAAATAGTTTAAAAACTCCGTAGAGATGATCACAAACCATTTCTCTCTTGGAGTTGACTCCTTTTTTGTCATGAACTGTTCTTTGACCGATAAAATCCCATCTGAAAATTCTCAAAAGTAACATCTCTCTTGGAGTTGATTCCTTCTTTACATCATGACCTGTTATTAGATTTTTTTTTCTTTTATGGAATTTTCAATGGAAATATTCACAAATTATTTTACTCTTTAAGTTGACTCCTTCTTTGCATCATGAGCTGTTTTTCGACAGCTAAATAGTTCGAAAACTCCAATTGAAAATTCTCAAAAGTAACAGTTCTCTTTGAGTTGACTGCTTCTTTACAGTACAAACTGTTCTTTGATTTTTTTAATGAAACATTCAATTGAAATATTCACGTACATCCGACTGCAAACATGTATTTGAAAAATGATAGTTGATTTGATTATAATAATTATGGCAAACGGCACCGGTGGTATAGTGGTAAGCGTGATAGCTTCTCACCCCAGAATGCCTGGGTTCAATCCCAGTCTTCGCCGCCGCACAGTCTTGGGAGAAGTTTGTGCACTTAAAAAGCCTCTTCTTCTGAGCTAAGCAATTTCATGATAAATCCACCTATCAGGGAGATGAAAATTTTCCTTTTTTTGTTTGTCGAGATAGCAAAATGGTGTCTTGAGTAAAGTTTTAGACATTATTAAACCAAACATTTTTGCTGAAGACGTCAACTCTCTATCTCTTTTTTTTTTTCTTTATATAGAGATTTTTAGCCATATGGCTAGTTCATCTCTTAAGATAGTATAAAAAAGGAGAAAAAAAATGGTTTCTCATAAGGAGATTCCCAATCTTGGCTGTGGTACATTTATCTTGCTATAATGAAAAGGTGTAGAAAACTGCCAAAAGGGCCAACAAAACGGGAATATAAACAAGGAATACTCAGATATTGTGGTAAAGGTTCAAGACTCATCGCCCAACAGGTTCCGAATGCTGATTGACTCCAAGCCGAAGGCAGCCCGAAGGTCCTCTAGCTCCGCGCAGTTCACGAGGATTGGCTGGCATTCCGCAGGTTTCGCAGGTCCTCCGGAACGGTGTTCCTCCGAAGTTGTGGGAGACTCTGCTATGCCCGGTGCGCAGTCTTGACACCACTCGTTGTTCTCTTAGGTTTGGTCGATCCTTCCAGGTTCCGGTGGTCGCCTTGATCTTCCGAAGGTGGTGTGTCCTGTTTTTCCTCCACTCGGTGTCCCAGGCTCTCCGAATCGCCCACTTGATCCACTTTTTGACATCTTAGAGCGGTACATTGCCGGTGGACCTGGGTCCGGTGTGGCCTGAGCCGGCGAGGTGGTCGGCTATTACGTTCTGCAGTGACCGGGTACTCACATGAAAACTGTGTTGGGCGGCGCGTGCTTTACCGTCCCTTGGATCCACGGATGCTTCGGTGTTTCTGTTGTTAGGGCCAATATCACGCTGTGTGAGTCAGTTACGACTAATATCGGCCGGTTGGCCGGTTTCTTAACGGCGTGGAGAATGGCCGCTGCCTTAGCTGAGAACACCGAGCATTGGGTCGGGAGCGATCTGCTCACAAGCAGACCATCTCCGGACACCCCCATTCCCACTCCGCTCCTGGAAAGAGAGCCGTCGGTGTACCTAACTGCATAACCTTGGTAGTGCGCCCCGAGAGTTTCGACAACTGTCCGGCGTAGAGCCAGTGAGTTGTCTCCTGCCCTGAAGCGGTCCTTGATTCGGCTATCAGTTTTGATCTTGTGCGATTGCCAACTTTTGTCTACGTGCCAGTGGACCCTGGCCGCTGGAGGGAGATCTACGTCGGTGGCCGTGTGGAGGAGTCGGTTCGCCTCGTCGAGGAGAACGATCCTGTTGTTTCTCGACGTTTTAGCGAGAAAGGCAGCGGCTTTGGTAGCAGTAGCTGCGGTGAAAACGAGCCGAAAAGGTAGGATACCGGCTTCAACGCATGCAGCGTCGGCCGAGGTAGAGGGCAGGAGACCGGAGACTGTTCGAACGTAGCCGTTGTACACCGGTTCCAGAATCTGGACGGCTTTCTCGGCGGTAAGGCATGTAATCTCTACACCGTACAGTAGGCGACTGTCGATGATGGCTCAAGCAACGCGGCAGCGGATTTCACGATTGTTGGGTCAGTGGGGGCGGGAGATGGTCTTAATCAGGTTGGCCCGACTGCGACAGTCCTTCTTTACTTGTTGGAAGTGCGGCTCAAAGGATAAATTCCGATCGAGGAGCACTTTCAAGAGCCTCACGGTGTTTTTGGTTGGTATTTCTTCTTTTTTTTTATCATGATGGGCTGTCCGTTGTTGAGATGCCTGGTGGTACATATATGGCAGCGCACTCTCTTGCCGGCGGAAAGCTGGAAACCAACAGAGTCAACCCATCTGACCAGCGAGGAGACTGCCGCTTGCGCTCTCAGTTTCGTCCTCTGCAGGGTGGGACCCATCCGCGTAGACGAAGATGTAAACGTTCTTGGGTAGTTGGTCAAAAACCCCATTCATGGCCACCAGGAAGAAGGTGACCGCGATCACCGAACCCTGTGGCACTCCGGTTTCTTAACTGAAACTTCCGGATTGCACGTTTCCGACCGAAACCCGAAAACATTGGTCGGTCAGAAAGTTCCGGACGAAGTAAAGGATGTGGCCCCAATTAGCAAGCTTTTTCAATACAGCTGGTTTCCATGTTCGGTTGAACGCTTTGGAGATGTCCAGCGAGACGATCTCCACGTGATGACCTTGGTTCTTTGCCTCCTTCAGGACTTCACCAAGAGTGGCGAAGTAGGTGGAGGTGCCATACACCTGCCAGCCTATTGGCCTCAAGATATTTTGCTTCAGCCTCCTGTTGACCATCCGTTCCAGGACTTTGGCCATGCAGCAGGTCAGTGCAATGGGACGGAGCCCAGTGATGTCCTTGGTTCAGACATTGGTTTTCGGTAACGGTATAACGAGGCTTTCTTTCTAGTTTTCCGGGTATTCCTCAGCGGTCCAGGTTGGTTGTAAAGGTCGAGAAGTTTCATTTTGGCTTCGGGTGGAAGGTGCTTTAGCAGCGGGTAGCCGATTTCGTCCGGTCCGGCCGAGTTCCCGTTGCTCTGACTGAGAGCGAACACGAGTTCTTCCCAGGAGAGTGGGCTGTTGACCGGTAGGTCGTCGTTGTCTGGAGGAATTCCGAAGGCAGACACAGAGGACAGAGAGGGGCGGACTCGTTGTCGGAGGCTTTCGCTGTACTCCGAGATGCTGGATAGTTTGGCGAAGTATTTGCCCAGTTCGTCTGCTACGACGGTTGGATCAGTGATGGTGAAGGTGTCTGTTCGAATCTGGAGCGGAGATGATCGCCGCTTGCCGCTAAGGGCTTTAATGCGACTCCATAGCTCCGCTGACGATTGTTC